AAAAATCCTCGCAGCAAGTACGCGCGTGTGCCGCAGGCGATGGCGCAATTTGTTCTAAAAATAGAATTATTGTCCCATATCATGGGGACGACCCCAATATTAGAAATGGCGCGCGCTTACGGTCTCCGTCCCCGATTATGGCTCCTGAATGCATCAAATACTTTCGCTCGCGCGCGATTGGTCTAAACGGGTCAAGTGACGTCAATATTCCCCAGCTAAAACTGGGGAATATTCGAGGATATTCCCCAATTTTCAAAACTACGCGTGTTGCGAAAAATATTTGAAGGATAATAAACACAATAGCCACCATTTGGAGCAAAATTGTGCTCAGATATTTGTCCTTAGGCATTATCTGTTCCTCAAAGCTCATAGTTTTCCTCGAGCTACGCTCTCGAAAAACTGTACGCTTCTTGGAATAGATAATGTCCGCGGGCAAATATCCGTGCATATTTTCACGCCAAATGGAGGCTATTGTTTATATATCTACATGATCAATGTACAATTGCAAACTTATGACTTACGATGGTTGTAATGTCAACGTTTATTTAACAGTCCTTTGCATTTGTGTGATTTAGAATAGTGGGCAGTATTGTGACAGAGGATAGACTCTTGAGTGCCATTCACATGTTATTCCCAAAGGAATAGATTTGTAAGTTTAGCGTCGGCAACAATCCTAACGTTGCTCTTTCGAAGGTCTACGTAAATATAAACACTAAGTTTGAATTGTTAGTTCCTTTTGTAATATACGTTTCTTTCAATGTAGCTAAGATATGAGAATGGCCTTGAGACAAATATTCCTTGCTGTCCATTGTTGTTAGGGTATCAATATTAAGGGTGCTCTTTTAAAGTAAATCAACCTGTAAGCGGTTTTTCAAACATGGTTTTAACGTTGAAAGTTCTATCCACCTTTGCCTGTGGTGTGATCTCCTTGACTTGGTCCAGTGTTATCTGAAGGAGTCAGCCCAGACTGCACGGACCAATCAAAATCGTCTTTTAAAGACTGCTGCCAGCCGCACAAGTCAGAGTCAAACGTGCATCCAATTCCTTGAAAAGAAAATTTAGCAAACAGGAATGGCCTGCTTATAGCGTTTAAAAGAGTAGTTCATATGAACAGGATAAAAGAAATTGATCACGATTATCTCTAAAGAGGCGCAGACATCATAAGAAGAAAAGACACAGGAACATGTTCATACTATAAATGCTTGATAATGTAGATATTTTATTTCAAAGTTTCATTAACATTGATTCACTGAACCCCCTTCAAATTTAATGATTAAGACAGGTGATTGAACCGACTGAACGAGAAAGTTGCGTTACAAATTCACGGTTTAGATAAAATATGCTGATCATTGTGTTTTGGATGTGAACACAGAGGGAAAGTACGGGGGACAGAAGATCCGTCGATTACAACAGAATGAATTTGTCACCGTCGGAATGCGAAAGACATTGAATTGATTGTGTGTTTTACCACAATTTTATGAATCGTGAATTTGTAACGCAACTTTACGTTGGTACAAGCGCCTCCTTCAAATCAATATAAATCTTATCCATAACCAAATTCTGTATCGTGATTGGTTCTCCGCGCGCCTATTTGTCATGTATCACGTGGCTGTCCAATTACAAGGATCCAGTTACAACCTTTTTGCTATTGGATACCTATAATTTCGCAAGTCAATCACGTGCGCTTTAATGGCTTGCTTCATAATGTCTATCTAAGTTGAAAGCACCACTAACTTTCTCGTTCAAAAGAAGTTCTTAAAGACTTTTTTAGCTTTGAAATTCGTCGTTATTGCCATTAATTAGTAATTGGACCTCGTGTCGTACAATTCACGGAGAATCGAGCTTGCAATTTAAATCCGGGTCCGTCCGATATTGAAATTAATCACCAGATTGCTCCCCGAATTGTGTTCCACTCGGTCCAATTATTATCGTTAGCCTGCGCGCGAACACGTGGGTATCCAACGTCAACTTTTTGTAATTTGATATCTTTTATAGCAGATTTGTACGTTGTCGTCATTTGACTACAACTACCAGAATACCTTTTGTTTTTTCTTTATATTTAAATTTTGAATTCCCAGTGGGGTTTAAGGTGGCTCCATAGGGTAATCATTTATGGCGTTACGCGCGCAAGTGTTATGTTTTGAATGCTGTTTTTGCATTGGCTTTCACACCTATCCTCTCAAACTTATTACATGTAATAAGCAATGATTAAATAGTGTTTTGCTATCATCTCTGTCAAAATTTTGGGATTTAGTCTTAAATTATAAATGCCCAAACAAATGCGTTTTTTACTGTTTTTATGGCTTTATTTGTGATTTTCATGAATTTCCTGCGGTGAAATCTTCCAAAATTTTTACATCACATCGCTTCCAGAGGGATACGAATTTTAAACACGAAAATGGTAGGGTTTGTAAAGGCAGTTTTTTCGATATTTTCAAATTTATGTCTTTTACCGCTGCGAAAAATCTGGTCTTATAGATTTCCCTGAAAAACGAGCTCCGACTAAAATAAAATATTTACTACCAATCTGCCAAATTTTACCTGACGAAATTTCACCGAAGGAAACGCAAGAAAATTCACTGCTTTTTGTGCTCATGTTGACGTAATAAAATATGGAAAAACACTGACGTTTTCCTTTGAGCGCGCGCAGGTTACTTCCTAAGCGCTCGCACGATCGTAAAACTATAGGGAGCCACCTTAAATAACAATTTCCCTAATTAGCATAAGAAACAAAAAAAGTGAAGGATTCTGGTAGTTGTAGTCAAATGACGCCATCATGCAAATCGCCTATTGGATACTTACGCAATCCGCACGTCAATTACCAGCGCTTTAATGGCTGTAAATGTTTTCTATAGTTTTTCCAAATTATGAACAGCCCTGTTTTTAAACTGAAAATTTGTAATTGATATGATTAATTAGTAATTAGACTTTGTGTCGTACATTTTGAAGAGTAATCGTGCTCGTAATTCAAATCGGCCTCGCGATTTGCGATTGTCAGATTTTAAAATAACTTGCTCAACTACTCCCTGAATTGCACTTCACTCGGTCCAATCTGGAATAACATTGCTTGCATTGTTAGGCAAGCATGATTGACGTTTCTGAAAAATCTATTGATCCATGTTCAAACTTTCAAAATGAAAAGGCAAAAAAAAATTTTAAAAATGCCTGAAAATTTTAATTGAGCCATGACTTTAAGAAAAAGTGTTGTTCTCGAGATCGCGAAAACGAAAACCAGCAAAGCTTTCGTGTCTTCAAAACATATCTTCAAAACACATTTCGGTATCATTTGAAATAGTCATCGAAATACAGTGTCCATCTGTCAGTCCACGTACTGTTATTATAAACAAAAAGTATCATTTGACATGTTATTGCGATTTACTTGAGATCAAACGTACATATTTTTTTACTCTGCTTGCCGTGCAATTGATTGAAAGACTGACATGTTAAAAAGCTGAAAAATGCTCTGTAAGGTCGAGAAAAACTGTATCGAGACACCTGAATGAGATGTTGAGTCCTTCGGGGCTCTACACAATCTTTTCGCTCGACAAAATTTAGTCGGCTTCCAAGTCTTACTATGGAAGCTAATATAATTTGACAACTGTCGGACAACTTTGCTACTCATGCAGATAAACTCAACGCCTGCGTCGCATCTAAATTGCTTCATTACACGATTTAACAGAGCAGCTGTATCTTTTGTTGGGAAATTTAATCATGTGACGTACGAAGAGAGACAATCCTAAAGTAAGTCAAATACACGGGAAATAACTGCATGAAATCCCTTTTTCTGGATGAAACTGCCTGCATGAATTTAAAGGGTTAAATTATACATATTTTATTTCCTTATATATTTACCACTATCTCAAATGCCTGCTCTTTGATACGAAGCAACGGTTGGAATCAGAAACACGTGAACTAAGATATTTTATATAAGGTTGAACGTGGTTAATCCTTGGTATAGTGTAAACTATTGTTGCACGTTCTTATGAGATCTTGCGCATCGTTAAACGCTGTAGAAGTATGGTTAAAATTTCCCAGGAATCATTGGACGTCAGGTTGAACACTTCTATAGCTCTGCAATACTTGATTGTTTTAAACAACGTTAAGCACAGTCCTTAGTGTCTTATTGTGAGCTTAGTACAGCCAAGCGGAAAAAAAAGCTATCCGGAATTCCAAGAAAGCAAAAATTCTGGAAAACACCAAATATATTCGAGCCTATCGCTTTTTAAAATAATTTGTAGGATCGAATTTATATTAAACAGGCTTTTTATCAGATTTGATGGTCTCAAAACATTGATCTCTTGGAAGATTATGTATATTCACTTCATGATCATATGATGCAAATTGAAAGGTTTTTTGGATCACCTGATGTGCTCGAGATTCATCTCATTCCGAGAAGGATCAAAAGTCATGGAAGATTTTTCAAGTTTTATGCAAGCCATGCATATAGAAGAAAACAGAAGGTTGGCCTACTGTTCTACTGTTTTAGTTATTATAAATATTAAAAGCTTTTACCTTCCAATGAGTTCGCAGACAGTACATGTGGACCGGCTTTCCATAGAAGACACAGGCAGGCCCAGTTAACAAAGTACCAACTCATTTTACCCTAAGACAAAATATCGTTCCTGGCCCAAACTGTATGTTTTGAAGCTGAAATATAATAAAATAGATATGATGTTATTGTGAGTGCATGAGTCACCAGGAACACGTTAGATCAATTTGATGATATTTCTAACACGAGTCTCTCTGCAAAGCACAATGAAAGTTCCACATCATTCTATGATATTTAAACTAGTGCTTATTATCCATGCCACTGAAATCTTTTCTCCACGGTGTCCGTCGCCTTGTGTTCACTTAAAATAATAATAAAATTAGTTAGTTTCCTGGTATACTCATTTGCATCCTGCCTTTCGTTTGATTAAAAAAACAAAGCGGATTACAGAAGTCATTAAATGCAGCTACTTAATGAAACATTCTGATTTTACCAAGCCTTGAAATCAACGTAGGTATACGCCATGCCTAGCAGGCATGTTTTTTTTATTGAATACATGAATATGCAAATATGTCAAGACCAAAAGACTCACATCAATTGCACCTGCTTAATTAAGGACCAGTACGAGTATTACGCCAAACATTATTTTTTTTATTTTCTGTCTTCTTAGGCTTCCTTGTTAACTTCGCGCATGACACATCAGCATTCAGTTGCTATCTGCACGGTTACAAAAACTAATTACTATTATTCACAAATTTTTTTCATTAACTTTACTCTTGTGTTTTTTTATGGGGAAGGATTGTTACCCTTAATCTAGTCATTTTATTGCTTCAGTAACATAGCTCTGTTCATGCACAAACTGCGCATTCTTATTAACTGCAAGTTTTAGCGTGGAATGTTTTCTTTAGAACTCTTGGAATAACTTATAAATGAGCTTCACAATTTTTAAACGATATCTAGTTGGAAACCGGAGGACTTAATATCAAATCCAACATAAATATTGAGCTAAAGAAAATTTTCGATACAATAGTTTGTTTGACAAAATGAAAACAACACGTCTGATCAGCAGGCGCAAATGAATACATTTGTTCTACCTTTCGGCTTATTTTGAAAGGGTTTTGATTGTGAACTGAGAGTATTGACTACACCATTTCAACCTGACCATGAAAAGTGCCAATAAAGGCCGTATCGGCACATACGCGTAAAACGTTGGTTTCTCACCGATACAGTTTTGTTTTTATTTTTTTATAATATTTTTGGTGCACCTGTCCACAAAAAAAAAAATCAGAAAGCCTGCTATGAAAACCGCACTTCTGTATACCAAATAGATGGTTTTCCATCTATTTGGTTATAGAAACACGAGTGGAAGTTTGGAAGAACTGCAGAATGCTTTCTTGACATTATCCCACTTCCATATAAACACAATGAAAACCATGCCTCGCAAAAATAGTAATTAGTATAATTTGTACAACGAGTTCACATACAGACCGTCCCCTGTTGGAGCGGTGTGCGGTTATAAATCCGACCACTCGACTAATATGGATTAAAATAAGGTAAATGATTCAATAACAGTGAAACAAATTCAAACCAGGAGCCATAATCGGGGGCGGAGACCGTAAGCGCGCGCCATTTCTAGTATTAGGGCTATCCCTATGCTATATAGAACAATTTTTCTATTTTTAGAACAAATTGCGCCATAGCCTGCGGCACACGCGCGTACATACTGCGAGGATTTTTGCGAATGTCGCGCGGGGGAAATGGTGTCCGAGGTTCCCGAAATTTTTTATGCTTTTGGCCCACAACTAAACGCGTTTATGTCTGTTGGATTTACGCCTAAGTATTTTCGTCGTAAGCTGTTCCAGTTTGAGTGAAGTAAGACAGTGTCGAATTTAGGTATGTCCCGCTTAAGCTTAAGGTGGCTGAACATAGTTTTTGATACCTGTGTTTCATTCACCTTTTTCTCTGAAACCATTGATCTCTCGGTCACCAAAAATGGCAGCAATCAAGTTAACAACACAAACTTTAGTTTTTTGATGGTTGAGCTAACGTGGGTGCCGTTGCCATGGCAACATGAATAAAAAGGTCTTTAAAATCGGTTTTGTTTATTTGTAGAAAATCTAGTCATTAGATTTTCTTTATAATTTGCATGCAACAAGCTTGTAACGATTCTCACAAGTTAACACAATTTGCTAATAATTTAACAGAGAGATCTTTAATTATTTTCAATACTCCAGTTACTTATTTCCTAAAGTATTTTCGTGCCAAATTTCGTGAAATTCTAATGAGTGGTTCTCGAGATATAGCCGTATTTCCGAGGGTGTAATTGGTGCAATTACTACGCATGCGCTGCATTTAACTGGGTTCTTTCGGTAACAAAGAAAAAGCTGAGAATTGTTGGGTTGTTTGCATCGTTACCTTTTCTAACATATCTTGTGATAAAAGACTAAAGCTATCAATACACTACGTTCAATTATAGAGAAAAATAGCATAGATAGCGCGTGTGTTGAGTAAATAAAATGATCGCTCTATTGACGGCATGTTTGTTTTTTGCAATCCTTGTGCACGCGCTAAATTGCATCAGCAAAAGCGCGCGCGTAAACTGTGTTCGACCACCTTAAGGTGGCTCCTTAAGGCTGGTTTTCACTAGAACATAAGCACAAACACAAGCATAAGCATAAGCACAAGTGAAAACAGCCACGACATAAACATAAGCATAAGCTGAAACAAAAGAAGAACGAACCCACTTATTTGTCTTGTGCAGTTTTCACTAGCAACGCCCTCGGCATAAGCATAAGCATAAGCACAAGAGAAACGAACAGTTCCGTTTTTCTTGTGCTTATGCTTATGCTTATGTCGAACGCGTTACTAGTGAAAACTGCAC